CTAAACCTTAAGGGGTACAGATATGACTATATTGTATGTATTTTTCCAGATACTCGAACTCACACGGCTCGGACAACTGTTTCCTGAGTGAGCGTCCTTACCGAGGCTTGGACTTGGCTCAAGACAGCGGTTCAGATGTGTATGCCATGCCTGAAGACCATGGCTGCCCAGCCGTCAGCACTAAACCTTTTGTAGAGAGCGGTAAGTCATATGACAGCCTGTCACTATAATAATCTGGGGGCACGACTGTTTCCTGAGTGAGCGTCCGTACCGAGGCTTGGACTTGGCTCAAGACAGTGGTTCAGATGTATATGCGATGCCTGAAGACCATGGCTGCCCAGCCGTCAGCACTAAACCTTTTGTAGAGAGCGGTAAGTTATGTTTTAATGTTTGTTTTTGTGCTCTATACGTATAAGGCTCTTAATTCCCGTTAAAAATTCGATACCATGACAATAACCGAGGCTTGGACTTGGCTCAGGACAGCGGTTCAGATGTGTATGCCATGCCAGAAGACCATGGGTGCCCGGCCGTCAGCACTAAACCTTTTGTAGAGAGCGGTAAGTCCTTACTGTTGTTATAAGCCCTTACTACAAAATAGATAGTTTACAGAAGGTTCACTCGACCCTATTGCGGATTCTCGAGATTGCCACTGGTAGCCAGGGTTGCTGCGATAAAAAATCACAAAGTATAAGAATATCAAAACAACAAAATCTGATACAAGAACGTCATATGATTCTGAGCTAATTTTAATCCAGGAAATATGACGTTCGTGGCAATCATCTTTATAGTTACCTACCTTGAGTTCCCCTGAGATTCCAGTTAAAATAAGTAAACCTGAGTGAGCCATCTGTATAGGCGCCCCGCGCGCCGTCTCCCTAATTTGTGTCCTTACCGAGGCTTGGACTTGGCTCAAGACAGTGGTTCAGATGTGTATGCCATGCCTGAAGACCATGGCTGCCCAGCCGTCAGCACTAAACCTTTTGTAGAGAGCGGTAAGTTATGTTTTAATGGTTGTTTTTGTGCTCTATACGTATAGTATAAGGCTCTTAATTCTCGTTAAAACAGTAAAATTCGATACCATGACAATAACCGAGGCTTGGACTTGGCTCAGGACAGTGGTTCAGACGTGTATGCCATGCCTGAAGACCATGGCTGCCCGGCCGTCAGCACTAAACCTTTTGTAGAGAGCGGTAAGTTATGTTTTAATGGTTGTTTTTGTGCTCTATACGTATAAGGCTCTTAATCCTCGTTAAAACAGTAAAATTCGATACCATGACAATAACCGAGGCTTGGACTTGGCTCAAGACAGTGGTTCAGACGTGTATGCCATGCCTGAAGACCATGGGTGCCCAGCCGTCAGCACTAAACCTTTTGTAGAGAGCGGTAAGTCCTTAGAGTAGGTATATTATGAGCAAGTTATAGAGATTGCACATCAACTGGTATGAACGGTTGGCACGGGTATAAACACAACCTCTCTGTCCATCAGTAGCAAAACGACAGTGACAAAACTATTGTACATCTACAGAAAGTAACAAAGAGGGTATAACAAGCCGAAAGGAGGTCAAGGTTCTTATTAGACTGAACGACTTTCCCTATGAAACATGAGTCGAAATATGATAAAAAAGGACCTCCCATACAAAATCGCCGATCAGCTGATTGATTTACTATGGGAGGTCCAAATTTTTCATATTTCAATGCATGTTCTTTGGGGAAAATTGTTCAGTTTCATGAACAAACTTGTAGTCTTTTAGGCTTGTTATACCCCTTTTGTTAGTGTAAAATGGTTCAGATGTGTATGCGATGCCTGAGGACCATGGCTGCCCAGCCGTCAGCACTAAACCTTTTGTAGAGAGTGGTAAGTCATATGACAGCCTGTCACTATAGTAATCTGGGGGCACGACTGTTTCCTGAGTGAGCGTCCGTACCGGGGCTTGGACTTGGCACAAGACAGCGGTTCAGATGTGTATGCCATGCCTGAAGACCATGGCTGCCCGGCCGTCAGCACTAAACCTTTTGTAGAGAGCGGTAAGTCATAAATACATTATATAAAATGAAGTCACTTTTTGCGTTTCTCTGTCTGTCGATCGTGGAATTCGCTAACTCCTCCTAAACCACGCAACTCATTTTGATGTGGTTTTACTAATAGATAGAGTGATTTAAGAGAAATTTCCGTACCGAGGCTTGGACTTGGCTCAAGACAGCGGTTCAGACGTGTATGCCATGCCTGAGGACCATGGCTGCCCAGCCGTCAGCACTAAACCTTTTGTAGAGAGCGGTAAGTCATATGACAGCCTGTCACTATAGTAATCTGGGGGCACGACTGTTTCGTGAGTGAGCGTCCTTACCGAGGCTTGGACTCGGCTCAAGACAGTGGTTCAGATGTGTACGCCATGCCAGAGGACCATGGCTGCCCGGCCGTCAGCACTAAACCTTTTGTAGAGAGTGGTAAGGTTTATAGAATATAAAGGTATCAAAGATATCCGTAAGATGGCGCTGTTAGTTTTCTAAAACGCGCAATCGTTTGGTTCGTGTACAGATTATATAGGAGTAGGATTGCGTTTCGGTTGAGTTACACATCTACCTACTTGGGCAGTATTTTTTTTTTAATCTTCCCAAGCATACTTCCCGATTTCATTTTATTGGGGTCTTTGGATGACATTTGAGCAAGATGTCAACAATATTGTTGCCATTTCGGGTCCCCTTCTACTATGAATCAGGTAGTTTAAGCCGTTACCGAGGCTTGGACTTGGCACAAGACAGTGGTTCAGATGTGTATGCCATGCCAGAAGACCATGGCTGCCCGGCCGTCAGCACTAAACCTTTTGTAGAGAGCGGTAAGTCATGTGACAGCCTGTCACTATAGTAATCTGGGGGCACGACTGTTTCCTGAGTGAGCGTCCGTACCGCGGCTTGGACTTGGCTCAGGACAGCGGTTCAGATGTGTATGCCATGCCTGAAGACCATGGGTGCCCAGCCGTCAGCACTAAACCTTTTGTAGAGAGCGGTAAGGTTTATAGCGTTTTAAAAGACATCCGAAAGATGGCGCTGTTAGTTTTCTTAAACGCGCTATCGTTTGGTTCGTGTGCAGATTATATAGAAGGAGGATTGAGTTTTGGTTGAGTTACACATCTACCTCCTTGGGCAGTATTTTCACATATTACTTTTTGAAAATTTGTCTCGAAATGCCAGAGCAGAGACAAGTTGTAATCTTCCCAAGCATACTTCCCGATTTCATTTTATTGGATCGTTGGATGACATTTGAGCAAGATGTCAACAATAATGTTGCCATTTCGGGTCCCCTTCTTCTATGAATCAGGTAGTTTAAGCCCGTACCGGGGCGTGGACTTGGCTCAAGATAGTGGTTCAGATGTGTATGCCATGCCTGAAAACTTGGACCTGAAGACCATGGATGCTCAACCGTCAGCACTAAACCTTTTGTAGATAGTGGAAAGTAATATTTTTAAATGTTTAGAATTTTTCATAGAAAGCACTCCTTCATTGCACATTGGAGATTTTTATATCGACTTGAAAATAGAGCTGCAGGTATTTTTTTTTGTAAACTTGCTAAATTTTACATCGGCATTATGCATTTTAACCTGAGTCTTTCACCATCTGTATAAAACTGTAGTGCAGTTGCAAAACTATCCCGGTAGATAAAGCCCCGGCCGCCAAGCGTTAGTGGCCAAGATACACTTGATTGATTCGCTGGCTTAAATTGAGCCGCGGTAGCACAGTTGGTAGAGGCGTCGAAATACTGATGCCGTTAGCCGCACGTTCAAATCCTGCCTGCCGTGCAAAATTTTGCAAATTTTCCAGAAATTGTAGACCTAACACAAGAAGTGTTAAAAATGAAGATTCTTTTTAAAACATAAATTGTACAGGAGGGTCATTCGGAATGACCCTCCTGTACAATTTATGTTTTAAAAAGAATCTTGAAAACAAAAGAGTATTGAAAACTTGTGTTGGGAATCAGACTCATTCCCAACACAAGTTTTCAATACTCAATACTTACTCAACTATTTTTGTTAACTTATTTTGCAAATAAAGCTTTTTGTATTCGTATTTGTAAAACATATGGTTTTAGATTGTCGCGGTAGTTTAAAGTGAAAATAAGAAATAGAAATAAAAACCGGCCAAGAGCGTGTCAGACACGCCCACAAATAGGGTTTCGTAGTCAACGTTTAAATAAATATCAGGTTTTTCAGCATTACAAACTTAATTTTGTTGCTGGTTTGTTAGCAGCAGTATTATGACCAACCACAAATAGAAAAACAATTTTTTTTCTGAAACCTTTAAGGGTACATTATCCGTTATAGTTTTCATTGTAATTTCAAATTGTAAGCTATATTCCATATTTATTTCAAATTTTTAGCGTTTATACTTTAGAAGTTACAGCTGGAACAAATTATGGGTCAAAAACGCCCTTTTTAAAAGCAAATATCTCGTGACAGAAACATTTTAGTGACTTTGTTTCAAAGAAACCTCACCTTAGTTTTAAAAGACCTATTCAACTATACCCTACTCAATATTACAGAAGAAAAATTTTTTTTTTGCCCCCCTTTCACTTGTATGGGAGGGGGTCCAAAAAACATTTAATATAATTTTTTCTTAACATTTCTATATTTGGGTCAACACGATCTATCTTCTCACCAAATTTCATGTTGATAACTTTAAAACTGACGAAGATATGAGGGCGCGGCATACAGACAGACAGACAGACAGACAGACAGACAGACAGACAGACTTGACGAAACTATAAGGGTTTCTAGTAGACTACGAAACCCTACAAATGACATATATCGACCGGGAATCGAACCCGGGCCGCATGGGTAAACGCCCCACCGCTCTGCCACTATGCTATCGATGCATCGGTTGATAAATGCCAAATTTTCTATCTCTTGATGCTTGAACATGGTTCTAAATACTTTCTACAGATGTCGCTGGATCGTCGCTTGGAGACGAGCATCAAGAGATAGAAAATTTGGCATTTATCAACCGATGCATCGATAGCATAGTGGCAGAGCGGTGGGGCGTTTACCCATGCGGCCCGGGTTCGATTCCCGGTCGATGTATGACATTTTTTCTATTTCTTATTTTCTTGTGAGAATAATATAGCACTGTGAGTGCATTACAATCCCAATAGAGCGGTAGTTTAAAGTTTTGAACGGGATAATAAACTCGCGGGAATCGGTTATTCCCAACGGCCCCGCGGTTCGGCCCCCGAGGGGCCCGGTGGGAATTTTTCTACTCAATTATTCCCGCTGGGAATAATGGGCGGGAATATTATTACTATTCAAAACAATAATTTATGTTTGTAAAACATGTTTTAATGTAACTGAACCTTTTTCTTTCCTTCCAGAATGTTTCTGGCACGTCCGTTCCGGCGCGGCAGTGGACGGTACCGCAGTACGAGCTGCGCTAACAGTCGCTGGATTAGGAGCCTGTGAGGCTGAGTGTATCAGAGCACATACTTTCTTCTGTCGAGGATTCAGCTTCAGGTAACTAGCGCCATCTATGAGTCACTATAGGTAACAACACTTAGTTCTAACAGTGGCTGGTTTAGGAGCCTGTGAGGCTGAGTGTATCAGAGCGCATACGTTCTTTTGTAGAGGATTCAGCTTCAGGTAACTAGCGCCATCTATGAGCCATAAAGCGCAATAATTTAGTAACTGTAGTTCTAACAGTCGCTGGTTTAGGAGCCTGTGAGGCTGAGTGTATCAGAGCGCATACGTTCTGTAGAGGATTTAGCTTCAGGTAACTAGCGACATCTATGAGTCACTATATGTAACAACACTTAGCTCTAACAGTACGCCATCTATGAGCTATAAAGCGCAGTAACTCTATAACTGTAGTGTTAGTCGCTGGTTTAGGAGCCTGTGAGGCTGAGTGTATCAGAGCGCATACGTTGTTCTGTAGAGGATTTAGCTTCAGGTAACTAGCGCCATCTATTAGTCACTATATGTAACAACACTTAGTTCTAACAGTCATCGGTTTAGGAGCCTGTGAGGCTGAGTGTATCAGAGCGCATACGTTATTCTGTAGAGGATTCAGCTTCAGGTAACTAGCGCCATCTATTAGTCACTATATGTAACAACACTTAGTTCTAACAGTCATCGGTTTAGGAGCCTGTGAGGCTGAGTGTATCAGAGCGCATACGTTATTCTGTAGAGGATTCAGCTTCAGGTAACTAGCGCCATCTATGAGTCACTATAGGTAACAACACTTAGTTTTAAAAGTCGCTGGTTTAGGAGTCTGTGAGGCTGAGTGTATCAGAGCGCATACGTTCTTCTGTCGAGGATTTAGCTTCAGGTAACTAGCGCCATCTATGAGTCACTATAGGTAACAACACTTAGTTCTAAAAGTCGCTGGTTTAGGAGTCTGTGAGGCTGAGTGTATCAGAGCGCATACATTCTTCTGTCGAGGATTCAGCTTCAGGTAAGACTTTCTAGTAGTATTGCTGAACCATTGATAGAATGACCAATCGATAGAGCAAAATGTAGGAAAACTAGCGACAAAGTGCAATCTAATAAGTATTAAAGAACGAAGCTATCGATACTATCTATAGTGGCAACACTACTTTATAGCGCCATCTATGAGTCACTATAGGTAACAACATTTAGCTCGAACAATGCGCCATCTATGAGTCACTATAGGTAACAACACTTAGTACTAACAGTGCGCCATCTATGAGCCATAAAGCGCAATAACTCAGTAACTGTAGCTCTAACAGTCGCTGGTTTAGGAGCCTGTGAAGCTGAGTGTATCAGAGCGCATACGTTCTTTTGTAGAGGATTTAGCTTCAGGTAACTAGCGACATCTATGAGTCACTATATGTAACAACACTTAGCTCTAACAGTCGCTGGTTTAGGAGCCAGTGAGGCTGAGTGTATCAGAGCGCATACCTTCTTCTGTAGGGGATTCAGCTTCAGGTAACTAGTGCCATCTATGAGTCACTATAGGTAACAACACTTAGTTCTAACAGTGGCTGGTTTAGGAGCCTGTGAGGCTGAGTAAATCAGAGCGCATACCTTCTTCTGTAGGGGATTCAGCTTCAGGTAACTAGTGCCATCTATGAGTCACTATAGGTAACAACACTTAGTTCTAACAGTGGCTGGTTTAGGAGCCTGTGAGGCTGAGTGTATCAGAGCGCATACGTTCTTTTGTAGAGGATTCAGCTTCAGGTAACTAGCGCCATCTATGAGTCACTATATGTAACAACACTTAGTTCTAACAGTCGCTGGTTTAGGAGCCTGTGAGGCTGAGTGTATCAGAGCACATACGTTCTTTTGTAGAGGATTTAGGTAACTAGCGCCATCTATGAGTCACTATAGGTAACAACACTTAACTTTCTAGTAGTATTGCTGAATCATTGATAGATTGACCAATAGATAGAGCAAAATGTAGGAACGAAACCATCGATACTATTTATAGTGGCAACACTACTTTCTAGCGCCTTCATACGTTCTTCTGTAAGGGATTTAGCTTCAGGTAACTAGCGCCATCTATGAGTCACTATAGGTAACAACACTTAGCTCTAACTAGCGCCATCTATGAGCCATAAAGCGCAATAACTCTATAACTGTAGCTATAACAGTCGCTGTTTTACGAGTTTGTAAATTAGAGGATTCAGCTTCAGGTAACTAGCGCCATCTATGAGTCGCTATAGGTAACCACATTCAGGTCTAACAGTCGCCGGTTTAGGAGCCTGTGAGGCTGAGTGAATCAGAGCGCATACATTCTTCTGTAGAAGATTTAGCTTCAGGTAAGACTTTCTATTAGTATTGCTGAACCATTGATAGAATGACCAATCGATAGAGCAAAATGTAAGAATACTAGCGACAAAGTGCAATACAATGTATCCTCTCCCTAAAGAACGAAACCATCGATACTATCTTTGGTGACAACGCTACTTTCTAGCGCCATCTATGAGCCACAATGCGCAATAACTCTTTAACTGTAACTCTAACAGTCTCTGGTTTAGGAGCTTGTGAGGCTGAGTGTATCAGAGCGCATACGTTCTTCTGTCGAGGATTTAGCTTCAGGTAACTAGCGCCATCTCATCATCATTACCTTAAGAGCTTCGCTCTTGTCGGTGAAGTAATATCCAATCTGCTCTCCTTATACGACATGACACCTATCTACTCCTTGACTTGATCCATGTATGCGCATCTAGGACGGAATCTTCCTCTTCTCCCCTCAATCTTCCCTTCAATTATTGTTTTTAGTAGGTCGTCATGTCGCAATAAGTGTCCTATGTTTCCTCTTCTGTTGTAGCGCCATCTATGAGCCACTATAGGTAACAACACTTAGCGCTAACAGTCGCTGGTTTAGGAGCCTGTGAGGCTGAGTGTATCAGAGCGCACACGTTCTTCTGTCGAGGATTTAGCTTCAGGTAAGAGAGATGGTTTCGAGCTTCGGAGGGCACGTTAAACCGTCCGTACTGGTTGCTATGTATCATATGTAAGACGGTGGTTGAAAAACTCTAACACATTCATTCAGTTTCAGGTAAGCGCCATCTATGAGTCACTATAGGTAACAACACTTAGAACAGTAGCTGGTCGATATTATCGATAGTATTACTAGGTTTTGGAATGAAAACAATCGATAACAATACCTACTATTGAACTATCGATAGTTCGGCAAACTATTTTCAAGTAATCAATGAATATTGCCTACTTTATCTAACCTTATTTCCCCACAGATTCGATTCCCCTACCATCGGCGACGACCTCGAGAACTGCATATTAACCTCCACGCCCCCGACGTCGCTGGAAACGGGCCACGGCCTGCGGTCCAACGGTGGACACGAGTTGTACGCGCGAGGGAATTACGGACGAGGCTGCGAGCCGGCGCTGTATGATGATGTGCAGCATAAGGAGTCCGGAGGTCAGTTTGATACATATTACATACGTACATCACGCCTTATTCCTTTGTGGGGTAGGCAGAGAGTTATCCTAATCATTACATTCACTGTGCTATATGATGATGTGCAGCATAAGGAGTCCGGAGGTCAGTTTGATACATATTACATACGTACATCACGCCTTATTCCTTTGTGGGGTAGGCAGAGAGTTATCCTAATCATTACATTCACTGTGCTATATGATGATGTGCAGCATAAGGAGTCCGGAGGTGAGTTTGATACATATTACATACGTACATCACGCCTTATTCCTTTGTGGGGTAGGCAGAGAGTTATCCTAATCATTACATTCACTGTGCTATATGATGATGTGCAGCATAAGGAGTCCGGAGGTGAGTTTGATACATATTACATACGTACATCACGCCTTATTCCTTTGTGGGGTAGGCAGAGAGTTATCCTAATCATTACATTCACTGTGCTATATGATGATGTGCAGCATAAGGAGGCATGTGGTCAGTTTGATACATATTACATACGTACATCACGCCTTATTCCTTTGTGGGGTAGGCAGAGAGTTATCCTAATCATTACATTCACTGTGCTATATGATGATGTGCAGCATAAGGAGTCCGGAGGTGAGTTTGATACATATTACATACGTACATCACGCCTTATTCCTTTGTGGGGTAGGCAGAGAGTTATCCTAATCATTACATTCACTGTGCTATATGATGATGTGCAGCATAAGGAGTCCGGAGGTGAGTTTGATACATATTACATACGTACATCACGCCTTATTCCTTTGTGGGGTAGGCAGAGAGTTATCCTAATCATTACATTCACTGTGCTATATGATGATGTGCAGCATAAGGAGTCCGGAGGTGAGTTTGATACATATTACATACGTACATCACGCCTTATTCCTTTGTGGGGTAGGCAGAGAGTTATCCTAATCATTACATTCACTGTGCTATATGATGATGTGCAGCATAAGGAGTCCGGAGGTGAGTTTGATACATATTACATACGTACATCACGCCTTATTCCTTTGTGGGGTAGGCAGAGAGTTATCCTAATCATTACATTCACTGTGCTATATGATGATGTGCAGCATAAGGAGTCCGGAGGTGAGTTTGATACATATTACATACGTACATCACGCCTTATTCCTTTGTGGGGTAGGCAGAGAGTTATCCTAATCATTAC